CGCTCCCCCTCCCACCCCAGAGGACATTTGGCAATGTGCAGAGACATTTTCAGTTGTCGCAGATCTTGGTGGCAGTGGTGACATATGGTGTGTAGAGATCAGGGATGGAACTCAACTATCTACGGAGCCCCTGGCAGTTCCATGCCACAAAGAATTATTCAGCCCTGAGTATCACTAGTGCCAAGGTTGAAAAATGCCAATGTACACCAAGGATAGTTATGATTTACTCATTAATTCATTGATTCATTGATTCATTTAGCCTAACTATAGAATATCTACTCTGTGTCAGACACCATTCTGTATATCAAGGATTTAACTGTGACCCAAACAGGGTACTTGTTTCCATAGAGATATTTTTCTAGTGAGAGACTCTCACAATAAGTGCATTAAAAAAATAAGATGACTTAGAAGGTTATATATGTCACCAAAAAACAAACAAACCACCAAAAAATAAAAAAACAACAGAGGAGTGAATTGGAGACAGGACTGGGGCCCTATTAGATATGGAGATTATGGAAGGTCTCCTTGAGGAGTTAGCATTTGATCCAAGACCTGAAATGGGAAAGGAAACCAGTATATGAAAATTGGGATGAAGCACTACAGAGAGAATGGCAAGTGCAAAGGTCCTGGGGCAGGAAAAGCAAGGCTAAGACCACTATGCCTGGAAGAGGGTGAGTAGAAGAGAGAGCAGAGAGATCAGAGGAAAAGTGGGTCTTGACAGATGGTGAAGAGCTAGGGTCCATAAACCTGAAATTAGAGGTTCTAGACGGTAAATATTTCTAGCTTTGTGGGCCAGTCTCTGAAGCAACTACTCAATTTTCCCATTGTAGTGCAGAAGCGACCATAGCAATTTGCAAACCTGAGAATGAGCGAACGTGCAAATGAGTGAACATGGCTTCCTCCCAATAAAACTTTATTTACAAAATCACGCAGTGGGCTAGAGTTTACTGATCCCTGGTGTAAGATCTCTTAGAATCTAAGAAGGAGTTTGGATTTTAGGTACCCAGCGATGATTTCAAGCAGGGGGATAATGATGACTTTTAAGTGTGGCTCACAAGGCGGTGCTTGGATGGCTCAGTCATTAAGGGTCTGCCTTCAGCTCAGATCATGATCCAGGGTCCTGGATCTAGCCCTGCATCAGGCTCCCTGCTCAGTGGAGAATCTGTTTCTCCCTCTCCCACTGCCCCCTACTTGTGTTCCCTCTCTCACTGTGTCTCTCTCTGTCAAATAAATAAATAAACTCTTTAGGAAAAGAAAAAAAAATGTGTGGTTTACAAGAATAACCCCACCACTGGCCTTGTGATCTTAGGCGTACATAACACATCACCTCTAAGTGCCAGAATGCCCTCATTTGTAGACTAAAATGGGCCTGTCCCCACTAGATTATTGTGTGGACAGGACCAATGGACAGAATGAGAGAAGAGTCATTTGCAAATGCAAGGACGGTGGCTGTTCAAAGCGTGTCCATCTGTGGAGGCCCCCAAACCCTCTCACGCAGCTTTGCAGCCTTCTAGTATGAGAGATGGCTCTGTTTCCAAGCTCGAGGAGCTTCCTGAACTCCAGGAGGCAAAATTACTCATTTGCGATCGCATAAGGCATAAACAGTTGTGTTTGGGCTCCCGCCCGCCTGTCTGCATGTTTTTCAGCTCAAATATAGACTTAGTGCTCACTGCCTCGTGGGTGATGCTTCTCCCCTAGTATGCTCATGAACTTTCTTTTCTCTGCAAAGGACTCACCTCTCATGGAAGAAGCCACTTCCTCTACCTTGCTTCTCCTTGGCCAAGGGACGCTATAGTCTTGTGGTTCTGTGCCCAGGGGAGCTCAGAGTGAGTTAACAGAGTGGGGACCTGAGGGGCAGGAGCTGGGTCCTGGAAGCTGGACAGATCTATGGCGAAGGAGCAGGCAGCCTCTTGGGAAATGGTGGGAGAAGTCCTGCCGGCCTGGGAGACCGGGTCTGCACTCCCTATTTCTTAGAACAGGACCCAAAGTCCTCACACTGGACTTCCTGCCACCCCCTGAAACGCTAAGCACATTCTCTTCTCTGGGCTTCTGCACGAATTGTTCCCTCTGTCTGGTTTGCCTCTCTTCCAGCTTTTCCTTTGCTTGTTTGGTCACTTTGCCTAAATATTCGCATCAACGTCTCACCCTCAAAGTGACCTTCCTGGATTAACTCATTTAAAACTGCACCCCAGCCCACCCATCACTTTCTATCTCTCTATTCTTCTTTCTTTCTTTCTTTCTTTCTTTTTTAATAACACATCATATATTCTTACCTGGTATTACGTTACAGGCTTACGAGTCTGCTCAGTTTCTGTGTGCCCCATTCAAATGTAAGCTCCCCTAAGGCGGGGATTTATTACATCTCTGGCCTGTATCCCTGTCTCCTGCCTGGTGTACTACACATAGAAGGAATTAAACATTTATGTTGAATAAACCAAAGACCGTCAGTTAGTGTGGGACAGATGCCAGCCACTGCCAGGCAGGTGATCTCTAGTAGGTTAGTCTGGTAACAGTTGAGTTTTCCGGCAGGTGGCAGGAAGCCAGCAGTAGAAGATCTGGATACATACAATAAGCAGATTGTATTAGAGTCACCTAGCTGCTAAAACAAATCAACTCCCACATTTCCGTGATTTAAGACAATCTTTCTCTTTTACTCATATGACAGTCCATTGTGAATTTTCCTGTTAATAGGAGGCTTTCCTCCAGGTGGTGATTTAGGAACCCCGACCTTTTCAGTTTTATGGTGCTGCCACCCCTAAGGGCTGAGACATCCTCATGCATCTAGTTGGAGGTGAGAGGGAAGAGGGAGAAAAGGCATACCCCTTTCTCCCCCACCTTGGCTTGGAGGAGGCATACCACTTCTGCTCCATTCCCTTGGTGAGAACTGATCACATGTTCTCACCAGGCTGCAAGGGAGGCTGGGAGCTGTTTCTAAGTGGGCACCTGTTTCCCCACCATAGCTGCCTAAGAAGTCCCTGGTCTCCATGCCCCAAATGTTGCATTTAACTCTCTGTCAGATGGACCTGTCTTGTCCCCTTCTCTCTCTTACATTGCCAGCCTTGCCCACCGCTCCTTCCCACAAACAGCAGGTGGACATGTTTGTGCTCCACAGCCTGCAAACCCTTTTTCCTGAATCGAAACCCTTTCAAGCTACTGACACTGCCCCCTCCTTCCCTTCACAGCTGCTGAACTTCTTGGAAGAATTCTCTACTGACTTCACATTTCTCACAAATTACATATTGCTTAGTTTACTGGAACTCCTCCAACTCAAAGTCACCAATGACCTTACTGCTAAATTTGGTATTCCCTTTTCAGCCTTCATTCTATATGTCTTCTCTGCAAAATTTGACACTGCGGAGCACACCTTCTTGCTGAAGCTTGTGCCCTTCTGAGCTTCCACTCTCCTAGTTCTCGTCTTAGCTCCCCAGTTGCCCTTAGTCACCATCCTGTCTTCATCGCCACGCTGGTGTCTCTGACTTCAGTCTTGAGTCCACCTCTCTCCTTCCTCCTCACCATCTCCTGGGGCTGAAATATCTTGCGTGGCTGAAGTCTTCTATGTTCTTCTCCTTGGGCTGCGGTAACAAATTACCACAAACTGAATGGCTTCAAATAAAAGAAATTTATTCTCTCAGTCTTGGGGCCAGAAATCCAAAATCAAGGTGTCAGGAGAGTTGGTTCCTTGTGGAGGCTCTAAGGGAGAATCTGTTCCTTGCCTCTCTCTAGCCTCGAGTGGCTCTGGCATCCTTGGCAATCATTCTAATTTCTCCTTTCCGCTGTGTTCTCTCTGGGTTTCAAATCTCCCTCTCCCTTCTCTTATTTGGAAAACAGTCATTGGATTTAGGGCTCTTAGTTCAGGATGATCTCATTTTAGGATTGTTAAATTAATTATATCCACAAAGAAATTCACACTCACAGCTACAGGGGGTTAGAACTTGGACATATCTTTTCGTGGGACACTATTTAAACCATGATACTTCCCAAATTTGTACTCTGTCACTAGCTTCTTGCCTGGGCTCGAAATCCACATTTCCATCTCCAACCACAGGGTACAGAAGAACTTCACATGTACAAGTCCAAACTGGCATTTACAATTTTAATTCCCTCAACTCTAATCATTCTGGATTTACTCTTGTGGTGGATGGCTCACCATCTGTCCACTCTTACAAGCTGGAAGCATGAGACTCATCCTGGATTCCTTCCTCTCTTACCTCCCACCTCCAATCAGGCACCGATTTGTGTTGCTCTGACTGGGAAATATCCCCCAAGCCTCTCCATTTCCAGCATATCCATCTTGGAGCAGCTCTCAATAGTTTTCACCAGTGGTTTGCCCAGAGCTCCTTAAGCAGCTCTCTTGACTCCTTCCCTCAGTTTACCATGGCTACAGCTGCCAGAGCTTTCTACCAAAACAGCATGAAGCTGATCATGTTAGAGGTCCATAAGCCTTGATTCAAAGCTTTGAGTCTTCCAGAAATTCAGAATCTTTTGGGTTTAAGAAAAACAAGATACAGCACATTATATAGGTCTAGCCGTGTACGCCGTGACCACGCACACAGAGTGAAATGTACGAATAGTCACACGAAGAGGGAGAAATGAAGACTATTAATGGCCTCATGTAAGTTCAGGCAGTGTTTGCTGCCACATTGTTTTGGGCCAAACTCATGAAAAGCATTCAGTTGTCAGCTTCAAGAATGTTAAACTTATGGACAAGGATTGAGGACTTATATCATTTTTCTTGAATCCCCAGTTGTCTTCTGATGGTCAAGGATTTGAAAATTGATGACTTACAACTGGCCTGTGGCCTATAGACATGTTGTGTTTGGTCATCACAATATTTGTCAGCATCTCAAATTGAAAGCCTTTAGCAGGAACATGCACCCAACAGTTCATGAAGTTGGCCAGCTTTCTACCAGCACATAGATCTTAACAACCTATGGTTTCACATGCTCACATTTTCTTCCTTATCCCTGCAGGTATTTAACCTTGAGTAGCCTGGTCTCAGCATCTGCAAATCCAGGTTGCTTCTCCATGATCATCCTGACTCCTTCTCCCATGTCTCCCTCAGCCTCCTTCTCATCCTGGGCATATTATATTATCCAGGTAAGTGAAACTTCTTAGATTATAAAGTTAAACTTCATGCCTTGGCATATGCTCTTGCCTTTGCCTGAAATACTCTTTCACCACCGTACTTCTGAGATTCAAAATTTATTCATTCAACAAAAATCTATGGAACATCTACTCACCAGTACCTGATATGTTTCCAGGGATATAGGAGAGAGTCAGACAGACAAATCCCTACCTTCGTTGAGTCCACATGATCCACCAAGCATAACCTGCCCATTAATCTTACTATTACTATATAATTAAATGTACTATTGATGCCACTTTACTTTCTCTTATTCCCATGACTTTGTTCCTGTGACAACTCTATCATGGCAACATGTTACACAAGGTATTGTACTTCCTTATGTACGTGGCTGAGCTGTCCACAGCCTGTGAGCTTCTAGAGGCCAGAATTAACATGTACGGGTTCCTGTGAGCCAACAGTCATATCTACAACTCTTTAGTAGTTGGATTTCTTGGATGTGTTGTGTTTCCGTGTTCCCCTGGCTTGCTCTCTTGACTTAAATTTGGACATCTTGAGTCACCCACGGTCCAAGTTCTATGTCAATGTAACATATTTTAGATCTTTGTTATGGCCATCCCTTCCTTTTGGGGTCTCATCTCTGTATTAGTCGGGATGGAGTAGGTTGTGTTACTGCCATAACCATGGCATTGTAGTCCTTCAACACAACACTAATTTATTTCTGTTAATACTCTATATCCAATGTGGATAGAAGGAGGCTCCTTCTTGACAAATGCTGCACATTTGTGGTGCTGGACAGAGTGAGATGTGGCAATTTATGCTTTGGCTCTTAAAGCTTCTACCTGGAGTTTACTCACACCTTATCTGTTTACAGTTCATTGCTAAAGCATGTTACTGATCATATAACTTTCAGGGGATGGGGAAGTACCTGGAAGGAGAAGAATTAGAATATTGCTAATGTACCTAGTCTAGTGACTGCTATAATGAGTTTTCACTTGTCAGCGGCTAACACAAAACAGGACACTCTCTTCTAGGGGAGAAGAGGCAAGAATCCCTTAGGTTTAAGTCAGTCCCTGGCTTTGGAAGTTCTGGGAGCTCAAGCTAGGTTAAGGAGGCAGGGTCTGGGCATAGGTGGGCTCCTTCATAGGAGACAAGGCTGAAAAATAAATGATGGAAGTGAGGTTCTAGGTGGGAATTTGACCACAGGAGCAAAGATTCTTGTGTCTAGGACTGGTGCACACAGAGTTGAATGAAGACTGTGGAAATGTGTCTAAATTATTTGGGTAGTAACCAGGAGCTCCTTAAATTTCCTTTGATAGAGTCATAATTCGTTAATTGAACACCTACTATATGCGAGGCCTCATCTTGGACTATGGACCATTGTAGCCCAATCCCTGCCTACCCATGACCTTCCTCTTCCTTTTGCTCTACCACATGGGTGGGCATTACTCTTTCTGAAATCATTATGACTCAGGGCTTTGCACGTGCTGTTCCCTTGTCTGGAACACCTTCCCTTTTCTTCTTTATGTGGCAAGTTCCTTCTCACCATTCAGACTTCAGCTTAAATATCACCCTATTTCAGTGCACCTTTTTAAATATTCCTCCCACATTCTCTTAGAGCAGGGGTTGGCACACCACAGTCCATGGGCCTGCCACCTGTTTCTGTGGATGCAGTTTTATTCCTCCTTGCTTTACATTTCATCTGCGCTGCTTTTGTCCTACAACAGGTGAGTTGCATAGCTGTGACCAAGGCCATATGGCCCACAAAGCCAAAAATATTTACTCCCTGGCTCTTTATAGAAAATATTTTCAGACCCTGTCCTAGAGTCCCTCCATTGTCATCAGTCATATTTTCCTTAATCTACTACTCTGTGAAATTATCTTATCTGTCATTTATTCTCCTTCCCTACTCCAGTGTGCTTTCCATGAGAATAGGGACCTTGCCTCTTGCTTATGGCTGCAACCCCAGGGCATTTGGAGGCATTCAATAAATACATTTGGCTTGAATGAGAAAAATAAATAGATGCTGGGTATACACTGAAAGCATAATTGGTCTGAAAACCCGGGGAGGGGCTTCGGCTGCCAAATGCAGACAAAGGGGGTGGGGTATGGAAAGAACGGGTTCTCAGGAAATGCGGTATGTTTTCCATCTTCAGATTTTGGTCAACCAGCTGCCATCAGCCTCCATCTGTTACTTAAACCATGAAAGTACAAGGAATCAATTTCACAGGCTGGCCAAGGATTCAATGGTGTGAGGTCTACAATAGGTTCTTATAGTGATGAGGCTCTCAACCTTCTCAAAGGGCTTTGGCAAACACGAGGAAAAGAAGCATGCCATTGGCTCAAGCCACTTCCCTCCTAGACGTGAAATCCCATCCGAAATCAGCACTTTATTAAAATGTTAAAGTCCCAAATCCTCCCCCAGCATTGCTGGCTCATGCAGTGTCTTACTGTGCCCAAGATGGGATAGCTTTCTGTGGAAGCCATCATCCCCCATGTCGCACTTTCCTATGTACAAATGATGCTTTAAAAAAAGGAAACCAGCTTTTCCCAAATTGCATTTTGCTAAAGAAATCAACAGCAATGACTTGTAGGCTCAGGCAGTGTTTTTGAAGAGGAAAAGATGCAGGAGGCAAGCATAGGGGGCTCGGGGATGGGAGGAAGGAGCTGGGTGTGCTCGCAGATTTCACTCTGGAACACCTTCCCTGGACATAGAGGTACAAAAATGGAGGGGGTCCTTTCTGTAAGTGTTGGAGTCATAGAACGTCCTCATGTAGAAATACATCTGCACAAACCACCACCACCCTTGGTTCCCATCTTTCTCCCACCCTCTGCTCTGAGTGCACCAGCAGGTTCTGTAGGACCTACCTCTGATATAGCTCCTGACTCTCACCTCCTCTCCATCACCAGCAGCACGTTCTGGACCAGCTGCCATCAACTCACACTTGGATTAATGGAATGGCCTCCTAACTGGGTTTCTGGTGTCTACTTCTGCTGTGGCTTCAAAAACTCATTTTCTCTCCTCTGTTGTGGCGATCTCTCAAAGACATAAGGCAGATCAGTCACTATTCTGGGTCAAACCATTCAAACTCCCTACCATGGCCAATGAGGCCCTAAAAATCTGACCCTTTCAGTGTCTCTAGTCTCATTCCCTCAACCTGCCCTTCACTCCACCTTGTCAGGTGTCCTTGTCCCCTTGCTATAACTCCAACATGACAAACCTGCATTTTCTGAGAACCCTTCTGCTCGATGTTCACTCTGCCTGCAATAGTTTTGGCCACTGGTCTTTCCTACCAGCTCCTGTGTTCATTCAGGTCCCAGCTCATATCTCACCTCTTCAGAGAGGCCACCCTGACCCCTTATCACTGCAGTGACCCTCTCTTTAACCCCTTGGGTTATTTCCTCCATGGCCCTCATCACCATCTAAAATCTCTTGTTTATTTGTGTACTTGCCTCTTACTTCTCTTGCTTCCTTCTGGCCTGAGCTCCAGGCCTCAAACTGTGCCCAGTGCATGGTGGACTCAAGGGGCAAAGTAAGGGGTAACTACTAAATGTCTGAATGCTGCTTACTTCAGAATAACAGATCTTCTGTTAAAGAACTGGGTACATTCTGGTCTTCATTCATTCATTTAATTAATCAATGTCCTGTCACCTGCTAGATGACAGCCTCTGGGCTCGATGCTGCAGGTAGAGAAAAGAAGACTCAGGCTTTGCCCTTAGGTGACTTAGCAAGGGTGAGTAGGACAGATAGAACACTGGGGGCAGGCAGAGGTTTCTGCCTGGTAAGTGCCAGAGCAGAGCTGTGAACTACAACAAAGACCCACAGGAGCACAGGGAGCACCGACTTACATTCCCCAATGGAGCTGAAAAGACACCATGGAAGAGGTGGCATTTCAGTTGGGTTTTGAGGGGTGGTGAGGAGCTTGTTAGCTGTAGAAGAGCATGGAAGAGGTATGACACCTAGCCAAAAATGAATTCTTCAGAGGTAGAAGTAACCCAAGAAGATTAAAGAGGAAAGATGAGTTCCATGAGGTGCTGGTTCTATGATCTTCCCAGGAATGGAAGGGAGGGACAGGAAGAGAGACAGAGAAGTCATCAGGAAAGAGGGAGCAGGAGTACGTGTGAACAACCATCCCTCAGTTTCATTCTCTTCCCGCAAGTATCATGATATGTGATGCTCTTTTGCCTTCAATTCCTTACTCAACCAACACTGTGCACACACAGGTACTGGGATGGTAGGGATAAATAATGAACCCAATGGGTAGCTCTCTGCTCTTGGGGAGTTCACAGTCAGTAGAGGACGGATGTGTGGACAGGAAATAGGTCGGGTCCATGTGGCCAGTGTTTTACGTGGGAAATTATGCTGTCTTATGCTCCTAGACACAGGGTAATGGTTAAGTACACAGATTCTGGAAACTGACTGAGCCCAGGTACAAATATGGCCTCCACTGTCTTGTGTGAATCTTGGTTTTCTCTCATATAGTGAAATAAGTTTTTAAATGGATAGATGGGATTATAATTATAGCCCCCCGCTATTGTTGAACCCGGCTGTGTGCTAAGGGCTTTTCTTGGAGCATCCCAGTTAATCTGCCCAACTCAATGACAGTGGTAATATTACTCTAAATTCTATCTACATTTTACAGATGAGGATGCTGAACAGAGTAGTTCAGTAACTTTTTAAAGGTCTCACAGCTTGGGGACATCTGCGTGGCTCCATCAGTTAAGCATCTGCCTTAGGCTCAGGTCATGATCCCAGGCTCCTCGGATCGAGCCCCGCATCAGGCTTGCTCAGTGGGGAGCCTGCTTCTCCTTCTCCCTCTGCCACTCCCCTGCTTGTGCTCCTTTCTCTCTCTGTCAAATAAATAAATAAAATCTTCTAACAGAAAAAGTCACCCAGCTTGGTCTGAGTCATTCCAAGCACTCTGGTTAATGCCTTCCCCCTACAGCCACAGAGACTCTGCTGGTTCCCCTGGGCAAAGTCCGGCCATCTACTGAATTCCCAACTGATGTGACATCAGACCAAACAATGCCTGAAACCATCTTCCCAAACTGCTGACCCCTTGTCTTTAGGCTTCTGCCTACTGGCTGTTGTTACCTTAGGCCCTCTTCTGAGCCTCCGTTTCCCTATCTGTAAACTGAGGGGGCTAGACCAGAGCATCCTGAGATTTGCATCCCTGCATTACAGTACAGGCTATTTGAATGAAAGGAGAAGCAATGCTAAGGCCCTTCTAGACCTTGCTCGTGAGCTTGAGCATTTTGGCCAAGAGTCCTTGCAATCAGTTTTGTGATTCTTTGCTGGTCTTAGGGAGGGAGTGAGTGCTTTCTATTGGCTCTCCTTCCCACCTTCCAGCATTCTAGCTTAAGAGTCATTCCTAAGGACTATAGGACTTTCTGGCAAAGTGTGGCTCTGTAGGCTTCACTGGGTCCTTGAGTACAAGCTTCCAGCAGCAATAAAGTGGAGAAACTTTCCTCTCTCTAGGCTCTTGCATATAAGCAGGGATAATGAAGGGATAAATGTTCTTTGCCCACTTTCTTGAATTAATCACAGTCAGCAGGGGTCAACCCCCTTTCATTCCAAGAATGCATCCATTTCAGGGAGGAAAGTTGTTCCCTTCTCCATCCAGACAGGACCCAGCAAGAAGGTCCTGGGTTGCCTTTGGCCAGCGAATCTGATCTCAGTGGGAGGGTCTATATTCCAGTTTTGGCTCTTCTATGGCCAACAGAATAGCTTTGGCCAAGTCCTAGAGTCTCTCTAGGACTCCGTTCCCCATCCGTAAGATGGGAATAAATATTTTCCCTACCTAGTAGTCATGAGGAGTGTAAAACAATGAGAAGAGGCAAGTTTCAAGTTGAATACTCTGGAGCGGTGGAGACACTCAATACATGTGAAGGAAGCCTGAGACATGTATTTTGATTTGATGGAGGAAAGAGCCTTGCAGACATCAGACCTGTCCCAGGAAGCATTGTTCTGGCCCCAGATGTTACATACTCAGATGAAGGTAGAACAAACACATGGTGTTCAAGGGTGAGCGCCATGAGGGCGATGAACTTTGCCTGTTTGGTTCACTGTTCTATTCTTGGGGCCTGGCACAGAGTAGGTGTTCAAGAAATGTTTGCAGAGTGGATACATGATTTGGCAGAGTGGAATCAAGTCTAACACGGGGCTGAGGGAGTATAAGACCGGATGGTGTTTAAATTCACTTTCAGTTCTGCAAACTTATGTCTTGGGACTTTCTAGGGGACCTTAACAACAGTATTCTCAGTGTTTAAATTACGAAATGCTGCCCAAACTCAACTATATCAGGCAAAGCCTGGTTCAAGGAAGAAAGGCGGAAAAAAAAAAAAAAAAAAGAACCCAACCCCAAAAAAACCACCCTTCCTTTGGGTTAATTGGAAAGGGCCTTTGCAGAAGGGAATAGGGCTCTTTTTGGAAGCAATTCTCTATTTTGTCCTTTGTGCCACCTGTCCACCTCCCACTTCTGAGCATGAGGACTTAGAAACAGGAGGTAAGGAAGTTCTTTCCTTTTGGACACCACTGGCCCTTGCCTTTTTATTTCCTTGGCTTCCTGAGACTGTTGGACCAGTCTCAGCTTTCCTCACAGAGGGCTCAGTGTCTATGTGGGAAGAGCATAATCAGGGAGATCACGGGGAGAAGAGACAGACGGAGGACAGAGACATTTAACAACTCCCTTCCCTGCTCATCTCTACAAAGGGGACTGGTGCCCAGCCCGTTTTCTTCTCCTAGATCACCCTGGTTTCCCTAACTTCTCTCCGGGCCATATGCTCTGCTTGTTTATTTGTTCCCAGGCCCAGGGAGGATCTGAGAAGGGAGGGAAGTAAATCACACTACCAGAGTAGGCAGTACAAGAAAGTGGCAAGGAGACCAGGGCTAGGGCCTTCCAGGTAGCAGCCAAATGAAAATGCCTTATACATAAGCCATGGGGGCCACGTTTGCACACTCCACCCAGACTCTGTGTTCTTGGCAGCCAGCCCCAGACCTGTTTATAGATTTATTTCTTCACCACCTAGAATGAAATTGCCTTCAGGATTGTACTTGTAGGCAGCCCATTCACATGGCCTGCCTTTTAAGCTAGTTCTCTTTTTACTTTTGGTCCATGAAGATGAGTTGCAAAATGCTTCCATGTGTGAGCTCCTAGAGGTTGAATCTGACTTATCTCCGAAACCCTTGGTGTTTGGCCCAGTGCTTGGCATGATATCGTCCCACAGTAAATATTTGTAAAATGATTGAATGAGCAGTTAGATTTCTTTGAGGGATTACACTTCTACAGCTTCACCTTTCTCTCCAGATTGTTCTCCAGATTAATCTTCTGCTTTGTGTGTACATAAGGGTGTGTTTGGCTGCAAGTAAAAGAAAACCTGGCTGATTGTGGATGAAATCATTAAACATTTATTGTTTTGTTTTTCTTTAACAAGTCGGGAGACAAGTAGCTCCAGGCTTGCTTTATTGTCTCAACAACGTCATCGAGAACCCAGACCCTTCTGCTCCTTCTGCTTTGCTGTCCAATGGGCATCTCTCACGTGCCTTGTTGGGTTTCATATGAACTTTCTCCACTTCCTCTATTGAATTTTTTCAGATGGAGATGAGGCTTTAACACATTGATTGCAAACCCACAGCTTCACGACATCTTTGTTTAGCTTTCAATATTTTTAAAAATTGAAAGTGGTTTCCAACATTTAAAATTTGGGGTATTTTACATAAAATTTCAGATCTTTGAGCTCTCTTCAAAAGTCGCAAGATGTGGAAATGCAGCATGGCTTATAACAGGCAAGAGCCAGTGGTGGTGGTCCTCTTTGGATGAGGTAGGTTCTGTCTACTTCTCTGGAGTTCCCACCACTTGTGTTGATTGCAACCTGCCAGCCTGTGATTGAGTCTGGACCCTACTCTAAAGATTTTTTCACCCCATTGGCCTGCATTGTCAGGCCATCTATTGAAAAAGCTCTTACAGCTACTTTCCCTCTAAGAATTGCTCTAGACTACACTTCCCATGTTCCTTTTTTGGTTCTTTATGGACTCCATCTGTTGGCTCTATGAAAGTCTCCAGTTCTCTCCCACCCTTTGATTGGAAGCCTGCTCACTAGGGGAAAAAATGTCTCTCCCATTGAAACTGCATTAAGGTCTGGCTATGTGTGAGAGGGCAAATGACTGATCCTGTGAAAGATTTGGAAAATGCATAATAATATGAAGCAGTGAGAATTGACCTTCCTCCCATCACCAAGATAACCCTATTGATACTTGTATGTGAACAACTTCTGGGGCGCTTCCAACATGGTAGGCACTGTTCCAAGTGCTTTCCATGCATTATTCCATTCAATTCTCCAGACAACTCTAGAAGATAGGTATAATGCTTATCTTCCTTTTGCAAATAACAAAGTCAAGGCATGAGGAGGTTCGATACAGCTCCTAAGGACACATAGCTGATACATGTTGAAACCTCAGTTTTAATTAAAGTAGTCTGACTCTAGGGTGCACATTCGTAAAAACCATAATATACTGAGTATGTGCATATATGCATATTTTATGCACAGTTTCCTGGAGTTTGCATCACTTACCCCCTAGGAATAGTGTAATGGGTATTCCTTTTGTGGAGTTTTCAAAGAACTCACTAAAATGCCCCCAAAAAACCCCAGGGTTTAGGGGCCAGTCCCTCCTATTATTCTGTTTGAATTGCTATACCTTCTTAATATCCTGGATGACTAGACTCCTTGACTCAAAGAGTCAAGACATTGGCAAGGCATATCTTTTTTCGCTTAAGCATTTCCTATTAGTAGTATGGCTATGACAACTTTTTATGGATACCAAGGGTCATGGGGGAAAAGTAAAGAAAATAATTTTTATATCAGAACTATTATGTGTCTGGCATTTGACATGCATTACCTCACAATGTCCCAAGTGTGTGGACATTATTATTTCCATTTTTTTTTTTCTGCAGGGAAGGAAAGGAAGATGAAGTCACATGTTAAAAGGGGAAAAAACTAGATATAGTGGACTAGAATGTGAACCCATGTGGGTCCAATTTTAAAGTTCATTTCTTCATGCTCTGTACTATACTCCATTGGATAATGTCACTAATGATAATGGAAAGGGTAACCATCACATAATTTTGTCAGAAGAATTATGAAATGTCTGGCAAGAATGCTCTGTGCCCTTTCTTGTGGGCATCCCTGTGAGATACATGTGCATAAAGTGACGTGATTGATTTATGGGCACACTCACGTTAAATCACAGAGCTGTCCTTGAAAAACTGAGTGTAAGTTAAAGTTGCAAAAAAAAGGATGACTTTGAAGTTCGTTTCAGGGGAATCGATAAGATATTGTATTTCTTTGTAACACACGTAACATGACTGCTCTGTCAACTGCTCTGTTGTGAAAATCTGGCTTTCTTAGAAGGAATTACCTCTGTTGTGAGGACGGCCCAAGTATAGACCTATGATGGATGGGCTAATCATCTTTGATTAAAAAAGAACCCCCCCCCAAATTTTTACAACATCATTACACCACCATTTATGGACCTTATGTGATAATCTAGTTTCAAAGCACTAAATATGTATCTCTTGAGTGAATGAATTCACTGCGTCCTGGACCTGAGAAGATTCTGAGATGAAGAAGATTCCCCCTCTTGTCTTTAGGAATCTCAAGGTCTGCCAGGAAGACAAATAGGTAAGCAGATCTATATAAGGGTGTGATTAATGCAAGCAAAGAAATGTTCTTTTTATTGTTTCCATGATCCATTTCTTCAAAAGAGTTTAATATTTAGCTTCTATTAGGTGCCATGCTGTAAGCTCAGGAGCAGAGAGACAGTGGAAGAAAAAAAAGAGAGAGATGGCCCCAGCCTCTTTGAGTTCATGGTTTGTCACTCTATCTGTGCAGGAGGCAGTCCATGATAGTAGCTGAGTGCATGGGCTCCAGCCCCATGCTGTGTGGGTTCACATCCCCGCTGCCTTGCTAGTTCTCCGACCTCAAGTAAATTAACCAACCTTTCCATGCTTTAGTGTCCTCTGTCCTCTGGACCCAAAAATAGTATAGTACCAACTTCATAGAATTGTTATAAAGCTCAAATGAATTAACATTTGAAAGCAGAATGATGTTCATCAATTAGGCAAATAGAATGACATGTAATAGACTTGGGTTCCTTGAATTTTTGCCAGATTCACAGTGTACCTGTACTATTTATTGTCTTTAAACATTAAAAAATATGTTTGTCCACATCCAGTCAAAATAACAAGCAAGTGTCGCATGGCTGTCTGGGCTACTCTGGCATGGATGCAATGATTGTATGGGGTACCTCCTCTGGGAAGCCCTCTGTACCTTGGGCAAGACTGGCAACTCCATCCTCTGGGCTCCTACCGCACATTGGGCTGGATGCTATTAAGTGCTCATTGGAATACCTAGAGTTCAATGCTCATTGGCTAGTTGGCTAGTATGAGGCTGATGATTTTGTTTACCCTGCCTCCCTAAGCCCAGACCTGTAAAGATTGAGAGTAAGAAAAAATTCAGCTGTTAAGCTGGTTGCATAAAGCACTCCATGACTCGCAGATAGTGTAGGTGCTTCCATGTACCAATGGATCCATCCAGAGAAAACACTTAGAACTGATGCTTACCAGGTAAGGGACACAGCCCCTTAAGCGTGAGGGAGCTTTGGAATAAGCCTGGGGCAGGACCAGAGAAGATGTGTGTCTGGGGTTGGGTGAGCAACAAAGGGTCATGTTCTCAAGCTGTTTTGGACTCTCCATTTCCATAAGGTAAGGAAGAGAAGAGCAGAAACTCGTCTATACTATCCAAGTGCCCAGGAACAGAGACCAAACTCAAAGGTGTTGCCGCAAAAGAGAGAAAATGAGTTTTTTTTTTTTTTAAATCTCACAGAGTCTAGAGGAAGTCATACCTCATGTTTATTTCAGAGGATGTAGGAAGGGGTTCACTCGGCAAGCAACAGTAAAAATTCATTCTAAGCGGAGGTAACAGGGCAGAAACAGAGGCACCCAACAGCGTGAAATATTTGGCTAATTATTGACATTGGGGCCCTGTTTTGTGTAAGAGGTCAACTGAAGAGTTTCAAGAGAAGAGAACATAGAGGTCAGTAGGGGGCCAGTCATTAAGCAACTTGAGGGTCCCAAGGTACATCCCTTTAAGAGGTTGAAAAAGAATGAAAAATTCCCCATGCCAACCACTACTGCTTGCGTGCATTCTGAAAAAATGTCTTCAAATAGAAGCTCCCCCCACCCATACTTCTGCAATAACCAGTCTGAGGAATCTGGCATTTAAAGACACAAATGTTTCTGAAATATCCCACTGCAGCAAAGTATCTGAAAGTGTTTCTTAATTGTTAGAAAAAAAAACCCACTATTTCTGTACGTGCTTGGAACACGTTTTTTAAAACACCACCCTTCAAACACACCATCTTTTCCGGCCCCAAGTGGCTGAGGATGGTGGTGCTAAGTGGTTTAATAGAGATGCTGTTGTCTCTCCCCTGCACATCACGCCTCCACTTCAATGCATAATTTTGTTTTTTCACTGGGTAAGTGCCCTAAAAGGTTGCCATAGATGTACATCCCAGCATGCGGGAGGGAGTCAGCAGCACTGCCTCTGTGTAACTAGTTAGGCAAAGGCTTCTGAGAATCCTTTGGCCAAAATGTACTTTAATCCATCCAGTTTGAATGAGCTCCATGCACATTTACCAAAGCCATGGCCTCTCCAATCTGCCTCAAGCAAATACACGTCCCCAAACAGTTTCCTGTGGAAAGCCAGCTTGGGAAGAGAGGATGAGAGGAGAGAATCTGTCACGCGCACGCTCATTTTACAATGGAATGCGAAGGGAGAATGTATTGGATTCTGTTCTTGGCCTTGGGCCAGTGCTCTTCCCCTCTGCTGCCACACCCCCTCCAAGAAATCGTCAGGCCACCTGCCCCCTGCTCCACGTTCACCGGCCCTGTCCTTCCTTGAATGCGTATACTGGTCATGGTTAGTAGTGTGCATTCTAGCTCTTGGGTATCTTGCTTTGAACTTCTAATTGTCATTGTAGTAGTCACCTCCTTTGTAGTACCAGCAATGCGAGCCCTGGGATTCAGGAATCCAGAAGGGCTGGTACTCCCTGGACAAGGTTAGCTCTCCCATCCCCCTGGGACTCTGCTTGGGCTGCTATAACAAAATACCATAGCCTGGGGACTGAAATGATAAGAATTTATTTCTCACAGATCCTGACACTAGGTATCTCTCTCTCTTCCTCTTTTATACAAAGCCACTAATCCCAACATCGCAAAGCCCCACCATCATGACTTCATCTAACCCTAATTACTTTCCAGAGGTCCCACCTCACACTGGGGGTGAGGGCTTCCACATATGAATTTGGGGGAACACAATTTAGTCCATAACATAGACCAACTCTTTCTTGTCCTACAGGTCTCGGTTCAGATGTCAGTGCCTGCAGAAAGCCTTTGGCAAAACTCTCAACCTGGGTTGACATTCCCCTTTGTAAATACCTCTTACAGCAGCACACATCAAATTGTACCACCACAGGCCATGTTTTTGTCTTCTTCCCCATTAGATCGTGAGTCTTTGAGTGTAGAGCCTTGTCATTTGTCTCTATTCCCAGTGTATATGATACCTAGTTAAGTGTTCAATAAATGATATCACAAGATTTGGAGATAAGCAAGTACTTTCGAAGAAATACGTAATAGATGAGATTATGGTTCACTCCTTCGATGGGTGTTATGAATGCCAATTTATACTTCAGACACCATGACAACAGCACTGTTAGGGCTTGCTTACTAATTAACCTCCTAACTAGGTAAGAGAAGGAAGCTAGCTCTTACCTCTGTTCAGTGGGACCCAGATTTTCTTTCGTTCTTCTTCTTTAAAATTCAATTAGCTAACATATAGTACATTATTAGTTTCAGGGGTAGTGTTCAATAATTCATCAGATTTTCAACCAATGAGTTCACTTCAGTCCTGTCTGATCCTACCCCTCCCCCCGTTTAAAAAATTCACCAGTTTAAGTCAAAGCTTATCTCTGAACGCAGGAAGGCAGATCCTGGGGACAGAGTCTTGAAGAGTGACTTTGCACTGGACAGGATGAGAGAATTTTTTGTTCATGAACCCCCTACAGGCTACAACTTTTGGTTCTTTTCATTCTTTCTCAAACCATCTTACATCTTCAGGTAATGTGGATGCTTCTGACAGGCAGAGAGGAAGCACATATGGTGAGCTGGGAAAAGAGATGGCCAAGAATGTCTGCCTAGACTCTGCTCACCAACTAATTGATTGATTGATTGATTGATTTCCATACTAATACAACACAAAATGTGGTCCTTGGTCCAGCAGGCAGTGCCATTCGGAATCTTGCTAGAAATTCAAATTAATCTACTGATCCAGAATCAGAAAGTGGGCAAGAAGGATGGGAACCACTGGGCTCCAGAGAGAGTTTGTGGGTTTCCTCATTTCACTCCTTCTATACTTGGAACAAAGCTTCCCGATCACGAGCAAGGGAGTGGGTTGCCTGCCACTGGCTCTGTTTCCTTATCTGGTGTTCCCTAGCAAGGCATGGTTCCTCTCTTGCAGGCCCTGCTAGCCTAGTCTGGTCTTGCACACTTGCTTTTTCAAGTATCTGTAACAACCCACAACATCAGTTAGTTTGGACCCACCTAGCCTTTTGTCTAAAATAAGTTGCATTAATATGTAATATATCACATATTACAATTACATTACGTATTACAATATGTACTACGTAATAGTAAAGTTCCCCGATCCTCATCACCTCCTTGCTCCCTCATCCCCCAAGGCAGAGAACAGTGGGTGGTTTAATTTCCCACCTGAACATGGAAAAATGAGGAGGATAGACTAATGGCATCACGTCTGAGGGCATTATAGAATGCACGAGGAATGCTCAGTGCTATGTCTCTGTTTCTTCTGCTCGAAGAGAGTAATACCAACATAGTTGGGATCTCTGGTTTAGGGTCCCTGAAGGATGGCTCAC